GTGCATTAAATATACAGAGATGGGAGATACTCAGGGTTTTTGTTTGTTTTATTGCTTTCAAGTCGACCTTGATTCCAGGTGGCTAGATGAGCAAGTCCCTGCTATTTTCTTGGCAATATTTTCAGAAGTGGTTTGCCCTTGCCTTCTTCCTAGGGCAGAGAGAGAGGGACTGGTCCAAGGTCATCCAGATGGCTTCTGTGCCTAAGGCAAGACTAGAACTCAGGTTTCTCTGCTCCCGGTCCAGTGCCTAGACCAAACTGGCTTTCTATTCTGTCCCTTACCCACTGAAAATAAAAGCCGCAGCGTCAAAACAAAGGTACATACCCAATCATACACTATATGCCAACCCACACAGGCCTATTCAGTATGCAGAAATGCCATATAATGCCAGTGTACAAGGGACAGACAGCCTTTACTAGATGATCTGGGTTCTAGAAAGCAGACATTTCAGAAACAGGATTACCTTCGTTGCTTTGTTGGCTACGCACCCTGGGCTCCCTTCACTAAGCTCCTGCAGGTGTTGCTGGGTAACGGCAAATATATGATCATGGGAGAGCAAGTCAGAACACATAAGGGAAGAGATGGCACACATTGCCCTCTGTGGAAGGGTGGGGGAAAAAAGCACATAGTTAGGGAGACAAATGGTCGATATGTTCCAAATCTATTCAGTCACAATGTTTTCTTAGCAAAAAGAAGGGAGGGGTCACTGCTGCCTTCTGAGATTTTTTTCTTTTAACTTCAGTCTAGCCTGCAAGCCTTAGTGCCAGCCAAGTATTGAATTTTGAGATTGGCTTAGTTGCTTAAATTTTCTGAAATCAGCTGAGGTCAGACAGGTGCTGCCACCTGTTGTGAAAGTACTAAGAGGCTCACTATGAGGAACGCAAGTCTGAGCCTCTCCTTAACAGGTTGCTCTAAAAATGAATAAGCCCAGACAGCTGTTGCTCCACATCTACCTACACTGGTAAGAAAGAAATCCTACCCTGGCCATCAGCACTAAAGGAGACAGCTGCAAGAGTCCCCAGATTCTGTGCAAATGGCTGCACTTTCAGAAAACGATGCTCGGTTACCAAACTGAAGATAAATTTGATCCAACCTAGATAGCTTCCTAGGAGTTTCCTCACCATACAGATGCACTCACTGAGGTCCTTCAGAGTTCGGTTAAGCAAAGCCAAGACGACTTCACAGTTCAGCAGTCCACACCTATGGAGAGGAATAGCATGGGGCCAAACAAGTGAGAGAAGAAAAGGAAGCAATTTTGTGAGGCAAGGAAAAAGTCCGGTCACTCTCTCCCACACCTTTGGAGATCCTAATGCAATGCAATGCAAAAGGGGGATTTTTGTGACAGTTTTACACAGCCAGCAGAGAGCTTTCAGAAAGAGACGCACTCTATTCAGTTGAAGCCTCTCTCATCAACTTCGTATGAAAGTCAGTCAGGGCAGAGCAAGGTGGAAAGTAATTATGAAGTGCAAAGATGGCAGTCACTCATTGATTATACTTCTACTAAACAGGGGACAGGCACCACTGGGATTTTCTGCTTCAGCCTTAGCCCTGAAAACAAGGACTAAGTAGCAGCAATTTACAAAGTCGTTGAAAGGTAAGGATAAGTATATGGATGCTATGCACTATTCAGTAATGCAGAAAAAGGGGAAATGGACAGGATCAGGGCCAAGCCCTGCTTTGGGAAATGGAGAGAATGTGGGGTTCTTACTCTTTGATGAAGTGCTGGGTTTCCTCACAAGTCAGGAAGACTTTGGAGCCTCTGGTTAATCTACTGACAAGACTCATTTCTTGAAGGCAGTCATTAAGGTTTTCAGCTTCCATCCTAAAAGCAATGGGGAGAAATTAATGTTGGGGCTTCTTCTCCTTCCCTTCTTCCTCCTCCCAAGAGATCCTTGCTTTCAACTGACCTCCACATTGCGAATATGTACTTAATTATTAAATGAATGACTGCTTTTCCTCTGGAAACTCAAGTGGGGAACGGGGTGTCTCCCTTCATTTTGCCGCCGCCGCCACCACCACCACCACCCTGTGTGGAATTGGGCTGAGAGATAATTACTAGCCCAAAGTTCTCCAGTGAGCTTGGTAGTCAAGTGGGGACCTGTACCTGGCTCTCCCCAGTCCAAGTCCAAAACCAGCTCTCTCTTGGCTATCCTCCCCTTGGCCTGGGCCTGGCCATTTGCTCTCCCAGCTTCTCTCTTACCTTTCAGCAGCACTGGAGTGATTGTCACTGCCTGCCTTGCTGTCAGATTCAGAAGTTCTGCTCAGGTCGCTGTTCTCTTGCAAGGAATTCTGGGAGTTGAGCCCAGTGTCCAGCTCCTCCCACCCGCCTCCTGCTTGCCCAGATTGATGGTTCACTGTGAGAAAGTTTGGAAAGTAACTGTGTGATACGACTGAACGCCTTCTTCAAAGACCAGGAAAGGCATTCGTTCATCACTACCACCAGGCCTCAAAATCTACATGCAGTCAACCTTACTGGTGCCCCAAGGTTGGTTTGAGCTTAGGAAATATGTTCAATGACATTCCCTATAAGCAAAACACTTTAGGGGCAAAGGGCCACACCTCTCCTTTGAATGATGGCTGGGTGCTACTCAGAAAGTGGGCAGGGCCAGCCGGAAAAATTGCCGGGTCCAAGGCACATATGACTATAGTTAAGGGATTAAAAAAATTAAAATCCAAAACCACAGCTAAAATCACCCCCACCTCCCTAACAAAATGCATAAAAATAGTTTAAAAGCACCACTAAACACTGGAAAATGTGTGGATGTGGACTTTGGGGACTGCCAAGGAGTACTGAGTTGGGGAATATATATATGGCCCGTGACATGCCCCCCTCCCTGCGCTTAATTATCTACAGCTTTTATTCCTGTCAAAAGCAGCCAACAATACAACACAGTTTAACATATACTGAACGGAAGATGTCTCCTACCTCGCATCTTCTGAACGAGGACCAGTGGTGGTTTGGTGAGTAAGACGGGGCTTTTGCCAGGAGAAGGTGCCATCACTGGCTCATAGACATTGTCTGTCAACTCCCTCTGAGGGAGACTTGTGAGTTCCTGACCAGGGAGCACAACATTGGCAACCACCTCAGCTGCCTTCTGGATGGTAGCCAGCAGACCTTTGCCAGGGGACGCTGGAAAAGCAATAAAAGGAAACCATTTACACAGGTTCAGTGTATGCCGTGTTACTTTAGGGAAATGATTTTAGGGAACAAAAATGCCAGACTCAAGAAATAACTTTAATGGGCATGAATTTACAGCCATTTGTTCAGAAAAGAGAGGCGCTAGCCCACAAACAGAGTACAAAATAACAAGGGCCTTCAGATAACATCCTGTATTGGTATCCCTGCACTGGCATACGTTAACTGCTGAAACCTCTGTTCTTCACAACAGAACAAATTTCTCCTCTTCACAACTGCAGAGCTTTCAGTTGAAATCATTAGATCTCTTCTCTTGCAGTTTATTCAATTGCTTTCTTCTGAACAGCTTGACTTGCTTTAGTGCTCAAAGTGGCTTTAAGCCCAAGTAGCGCTGCTGGGTACTGCTAGGAACCAGGAGAGGAAAGGTTCTGAGTCTGATAAATAGCAAAGTTCTGGAAGCAAGGGTGAGGAAGCGGAAGGCTAGGAGGCAGGCAGAAGGTTCTTGCCCAAAGACCTGGGGGTATCCTAGAAGTAATGTCCCTTCAGCTCCTGAACCCAATACTTACTAGAGCTGTTCTTTTCAAAACCAAAGCCTTCAAGAGAGCCATGGGGGCTAGACTTAGTTCCCATACCTAGGAAGAGAGGCATAAAAGGAGCTTTACAAAAGAAGACCAAATCCAGCATCGTGCTGCTGCAGACAGCCCACGTGCTTTTCTTTATTTTATCAATGGCAGATGATAATGACTTTACCAGCATTTACATTCTATCCATTCAGGTAAGGAAGAAATCGCCATGAACTGCCCACTGAGATGAGAAGGCTCAGATGTTCTGAGAACTGCCTTCTCTCTTAAGAAGAAAATATACAGCCAGAATGTATGTTGTGTTACTTTAGGGATGTGACTTGCTAGAACAGATTATTGGATCTAAAGACAAAATTGCTGGAAAGCATCTAGCCAAGCTCTTCCAGTGTCAGGGCAAGGCTGTAGCAACTGACTTATTTCCTGGCTAAAGAGAGGCACAGAAGCAGAATGAATTTCACTTCCATCATCCTAACAACAAAAGCCACATGGAAATGGAAAGAACATATCCGTTCTTATTCTCAGTAGGCATTCCTGCAACTCATAGAATCATAGGGTTAGAAGGGACCTTGGAGGTCTTCTAGTCCAACCCCCTGCCCAAGGCAGGAGTCCTCATACCATCTCAGACAAATGGTAGTCCAGTCTTTTCTTGAAAATCTC